TACTTTCAATTGGAGATGAATAAAAGAATGTTTTGACAATTAAGGGACTGAATCAAACTTACTCACTTACGTACGCCTGTTACTGCAGATGGAGCATAGGCCGCCGATCAGCATTCTCGAACTCAGGATTCCATGTAAGGGCTTGTCTTGTAATGCAGTTGGTTGCCTTTCTCAATGTGTGTCCTATCCACTTCCAATGCGTCTTCCTGATTTCTTCTTCCACTGGATGGAATCTGGTTTGTTGTCTCCCACAATAGAATGTTGCTGATAGTGTCTGGCCAGCGGATCCGAAGTATCTTGCGTAGACAACTGTTGATAAACACCTGTATGTTCTTAATGATGGCTTTCGCAGTTCTCCACGTTTCCACCCCATACAGTAGAACTGTCTTGTCATTTGTATCGAAAATTCTGATGTTAGTGTTAGTTGACAATCGTTTTGAGTTCCAGTTGCTCTTCAGTTGTAAATATGCTGTTCTTGCTTTGCCGATCCTCACCCTCACATCTGCATCAGATCCGCCGTGTTCATCGATGGTGCTTCCCAGATATGTAAAGGTTTTCACTTTCTCCAAAGCCTCTGCGTCAAGTGTAATTCTATTGGTGCATGTTATATTGTATCGGAGAATCTTGCTTTTCCCTTTGTTTATATTGAGACCTACTGCCGCCGAAGCTACTGTTACACTGGTCATCCTCTCCTGCATTTGTTGTTGCGACTGAATCAAAAGTCAATGATTATATTGAAGAAAATTTTAACTTATGGTCTGATAGATCAAATGTTACTTAGTTATGATAGTAATATCTAACAGTGAAATCTACGTTTTAAGAATATCAATGTTATTTGTTTAATGATAATTTAATATCTAAACAGACAGTGGATATCAAAGAGATGAGGTATGTATACAACTCGAAAAAAATGGCTTGATCAAGTCTATTCTACTCATTCTGGCCTGATCAAGTCTATTCTACTCTTTCTGGCCTACATATAAGTTGCGCTGAACTAATCTATTGTCTATCATTAACCGAAAACCTAGTATGTTTAATTGTTGTTCATAGTTAATAATCTTCATATTTATCAAGATTTACATATAAATAATGAGAATTTTAAGAGAGAGACTAAATAAGAGACATTTTTAATAAGTAACAAATCGATGAATCCTATGATTATTTAACAGATGCTACTAACATCATATACTATAAGTAATACTTAAGCTATAAGCAATTTTTCTGGAAACGAATTCGACATTTCATTTCGTCATAAATATAATCAGATGATAAGGAATAGTTTGCCGTCGGTAAGGTATCCAGGATTTTAGTGAACCAGAATATCTGACTCCAGTTAAATAGGATGAGGGATTATTCATGAAATACACATGTCGTCGTTTATCCTAGTATATAACTATTTACTAAATCCGCACTAGTGAACAACAGAATTAAATAAGTCGAATACGAGAATGGGTTTTTGAATACGTATATTTTATACACTGGTTAATCTAAATAGACAGTCAGAGGGGGAAACAAAATGACATGCAGAGGAGAAGGCGTGTTAGCCAATTCGATTTAATCAAGTGTTAGTCGATATTTACAGTCAAATAAAAATAAGTTACAGACATGTGGTGAGTAAGATAGGAAATTCACACGCATGCGCTTACATAAAAACAGTCAACGTTGATAAGTGAATAATTGACAAGGTTAAAATGTCACTCAAGAAGGGTGAATAAACTGGCTTGTCTGGAAGCCAAAATAAGCTATGTGAGTCTAACATAGCAATCGATACTACATAGCCCTCTTGTAGAAAATAGAATATTTATTTGAAAAATGTCTGTTTTCGAAAGTAACGGAGATGAGGTATGTGGTTAACGTTAACAATAAGTAGTGAAAACAGTTGTAGTATATCTGATAGAGTACGGTGTCATGTGAGGGGTGACGAAACAGCCGTCCAGTGCTTCCAAATTTTCCTTGGTGGTCTAGCTTCAATTGACTCATGCTTTCAACTATGAAGATTATATGTTAGTAGAACGACCAGAGGAATAGATCAGTGACTGCGGAGTTGTATTCGTTTTCGGTCGTAAAGTCTAACATGGTTCATTTCGTCTAAGGGATATTCACTCGACCTCGTTTGTTAAGAAACTGTACTAGGTCATGATAAAAGTACCAATACATATGACTATCGGTGACGTCGAGTGAGACTGGCTTGGATGTGACGAACAAGAATGCATGCTTAAGAGATGAGCTCTAAACTCTATATCCTGACATACAATGCTACGGGAATAGAATATTAATTGCATTAATCGAATAATGTTTATGGGTAATTGATGATGCAGCATGCCATTATACATATGAACGAATAGGTAAGATGAATAGAATCGTTACTAAGTGGCTGGTAATGTGGCGTCGAGTACTTAATGTGTGTATAGACACTAAAATAAGGATCATTAATTAAAGAAAACAAATGGCTGAAGTTGGGTATAGACTGTCGTTGAATAAGTAGGAAAATGAACATAATTCGATAAAATGAACATTAGTTGCATTTTGAGGACATCAGTACCTGTTATCAAAATTATGACTTTAAACTTATGTCTATGATAGAGTTGCTAACTGTTGCCAGCGTGCAGGAGGTTCTCTCGACTGTTTGGACTGAGGATTCGTGTGCATGCGCATATCTCTAGACCGTCAATTTACTTGACAGGTTGCAGGTTGTTCGGTGTACGAGCAGCTAGTAAATATGTCGGAAATATATGACATGTGATAGCCATATATCCACAAAAATAAACGATAATAATTAAGCCATTGATGTGATAAATGATCCAGAGCAAAATAAAGATGATCGATCCTAGCAAAAAACTTATTAGAAATAAAGGCATCCACAGACATCATAGATGATATCGAGATGAAAAATGTGTGGTGTGATAACATAAAAATGATCTCGACGACGTGAATGAGTGTAATAATAGGGTAAAAATGACATCGAAAAAATGGATCAAACTCACTTCAAAGCGGAAAAATTTCACGTTATTCAATAATAAAAATACTCCAGTGAATTTTGAATGTCAGAACGTGGATGGAATGTTCATAAAATTATAATTTGTTCGGTGAGTTATATTATTGCATAAATGTCATAATTTAATGTCAACACGATCGGCAATTACAATTCCATGTTAGGTGAAATGTGACATTAATGTAATAATGAGACTGATAATTATTTGAATCATAATGGAACAATCCACCAGATGAACCAATGAGAAGAATTGACATGAGGACAAAGTATCGATAAGATGATACGATTTTAGCCAAGTTTGTTCGTCAAAAGTATGGAGTGTGAAAGGTTATTCATTGACGAAGTTTACAGCGTTAGGTTCATCGTCATCGAGTTCATCACTTCAGTAACCCTAAATCTGACTCCAGTTAGGTTATTTCGGAATGCTATTAAAATGATTGCTGTCAAAATATACATATCGCTAATCCACATATATAATCGTCGACTTAAATCGTGTTAGTAAATAACAGAATTAAAGAAGTCGAATACGAGAATGGGATTTTGAATATGTATATTTTGTACATTCATTAATCTAAACAAATAATCAAAGATATGAAGGCGTAATAAGCTATATGGGGCTAATATATCAACTGTCACTATTGTTTGCTTATCACATATCAGTTATGTATATCAGAAGGGGTTTAGTCGAGATTTCAGTATTTTCATAGTTGAAATCATGAGTCAATTGAAGCTAGACCACCAGGGAAAATCTAGAAAAACTGGATGGCCGTTTCGTCTGACCATGGGACTCCTCAGCAGTGCGCACCCACGATCCCACAATCGCGAGATTCCAACTCAGGACCTACCAATCTCACGCCAGACCACTTAATCGATAGACCACTGAGCCTGCCGGCACCCAACGGTGTTAATTTATTACCTCAACCAATCCACGATGTTTGAGCAACCGTTCACCAATTGTTTTCAATGAGTTGATATCTCTACAACAGATGTAGTTGAACTCCACTGGTCACTGCTTCCCATTAGAACTCAAGGAAACATCTTTTGAATTCAGTCACTAATGTGCATATGATTATAGATCAAGAAGGGAGATTTGTGTAGATTTCAATATTTTCATAGTTAAAATTATGTATATTTGAAATCTTCCGGAAATGATTGCATGTTTACTTTCTAAATATTCAAGAGAAACGATATATATATATATATATATATATATATATATAATTTTTGAGAATTTACTGTTGTAGCTGTAAATTAATACACAAAATCAATAGCTCTGTAAATGTTTGACATTGGATGCTGATCACATTAGTTTTAGTGAACTCATTTACTTAAAGACGTTCGGTCATACATTCGTATCAGATCATGTTACAACATAGCATAGGAAACATCTCCTACGATCATTAACCCAATTAGATCAATCACTTAATAACCCATCAAATATATATATCTCCAACCTCTTCTTTTCTAACTTCTTATTTTTAACTTGGTGGGTACGTTTCGATTATAGAAATTGTTATTGTTAAACAGTTGCTAATCTACAATATTGATGATATCTTCACTGTTACCATATATACATAATAATAAATTATAACTTACTTTCTTTTATTCTTTTTAAACAACTTGCATTTTAAAAAAAATTTGTTTATTCTAATAATCAGATTTTAGGACAATGGTAACTTTTGTCAATTTATAAGTGTAATATAATTTTTTTTTAAATTAATAATATTTTAAAATATTGATTAGTTGTATAATGAATAATATAAACAAGCAAACAAACAAACAAGCAACCCAACGTACCATTTATAACAATGAAATGTAGTCGTTACCATTTCATTGTTGTTTATGTTTTTGTTTTACTACATGAATAAGTAATAACGTAATAAAACAAACGAATAAAATGGTAAGATGTATCTTTCTCTTTCTCTCTCTCTCTCTCTCTCACTCACTCACTCATTCACTCTAACACTCTTTCGTTCTCTCATTCGCTCTGTCTCTCTCTACATATATATATATATATATATATATATAATCCGACCAATCTATATGTGGTTCACTTTAATTCTAAGTGAATATATTCTATTGTTAAAGGTATGGATGATGTACGAAAAATAATAGTGTTTCATTAATACACTATTTACTAGTCCATTTAGAAGTTTCAAAAGTAAGTATCAAGTTTTCATGATAGGTAATTATTATTGAATTAGTGAATTTCAATAAAATTATTATCATTATACAATGATTTATACTTTGAATATAATAGAATGAGATTGGAATATACCGAGAAAATTAACTCATGATTTCAATTATGAAAAGATACTGAAATCTCCACAAAACTCCCTTCTTGATCTATAATCATATGCTCATTAGTGACTGAATTCAAGAGATGTTTCCTTGAGTTCTAATGGGAAGCAGTGACCAGTGGAGTTCAACTACATCTGTTGTAGAGATATCAACTCATTGGAAACAATTGGTGAACGGTTGCTCAAACATCGTGGATTGGTTGAGGTAATAAATTAACACCGTTGGGTGCCGGCAGGCTCAGTGGTCTATCGATTAAGTGGTCTGGCGTGAGAGTGGTAGGTCCTGAGTTGGAATCTCGAGATTGTGGGATCGTGGATGCGCACTACTGAGGAGTCCCATGGTCAGACGAAACGGCCATCCAGTTTTTCTTCTTATTATTATTATTATTAGCTTTATTCAATATTATATTTTTGGTACAATATAGAATTCTCAGCACAAAGTATCTCAACAAGTTTCCGTTTCTTACCTCTTCGTCCTTTCTGACGACAAATATTGGGTGATTGCCTGTTAGAAGTTAGCAGCCCAGTCAATCGACATCTGGATAATGTACATTCTTCTCGCTGCATATTGCCAGAAACCACGATATCTCTGAATAAGCCTTCTGTAACCTTTACAGCGAAAGGTCTTACACTTTTCAGAAACGCACTTGAATAGGTTGTGCGATTAATAGGCATAATGATGTATTAAAACAAACAAAATCAGATAACTTGTTGAAATATCTAGATGACAGGAACAGGTAGCCCAGATGTTTAAACAGGCCAGGTTTAGCTTCAACTGACTCATGATTTCAACTTTGAAAAAGATACTGAAATCTCCACAAAACCCTTTCTCATCAATGAAATGTTAATAGAATAGTTGGAGAATAATGAGTTGGTGTAAAAAATACACTTTTACGTTCAGACAATGTGAGAAACCGGGAGGACCAGTCAAATAGCATCAAAACTGAGGGGATACAACTTGGCAGTACTTGGAGTTAGCAAAATCCATTGGAAACAAGCTGGACAGTAAAGGCTAGATACGGGAGAGATGCTGTTGTAACCCAGTCACGAAGAGGACAATGCTTCACATACTCAGGGAGTTGTTTTGATGCTGTCCAGAGAAGCATGAAATGCATGTGTAGGATGGGAATCTCATGGATCCATAATTATCAGAGCATCATTTAAAACAAAGAAGGACGAGATGACGATGAATATTATTCAATGTTATGCACCCACCAATGATAGCAACAACAATGATGAAGATCAGTTTTACTCGAGGCTGCAATCACTAATAGCAAAGTGCTCAAAAAAGGACCTCATCATCCTGATGGGAGATTTAAATGCTGAAGTCAAAGTGGACAACACAGGATATGAAGATATATTATATCTTCACATAATATACACAAAGTATATAACGATTAGTACATAATATAACATGATTGACATTTTTGAAATATCTCCCATTGGACTTTGTAAATCAACCAATTATAGTTTGCAATTTATCAATTCTTGGCTAATAATGCTATCACAAAATATAAATAACATCTGCTTACTACTCCACTCAAAAGTTTCGATATTAAGTATCAAGTTTTAATGGTAGTTAATTACTATTGAACCAGTAAATTTGAATAAAATTCTTATCGTTATACAATGATTTACACTTTGAATGTAATAGATTGAGATTGGAATATACCATCAATGAAATGTTAACAGAATAGTCGGAGAGTAATGAGTTAGTATGAAAAATACACTATTATTCAGTTCAATTACAACTCGAATTGAAAATATGAAATATGATTTCAAATAATATATTTCAAACAAATCTCTCTGTGATATAAAGTGAAAGTTGGCCAGGGTAAAAGGAGCGGCTGGACATAATTTTTTATGGATGCAAAGCTCTGGCGATTTGATCGAAATAGCAATTGCCTCAGCCGTCTGCAGGATTCTCAGTTTGACGGAATCAGGTAGACTGCTGTTAACACGATATATTATTGTGAATGATTGCTCGATGTTGGTTCTATGTCCCGTCTGAACTAAATGGGCTAAAATAGAGTTGTTAACTTCAAGGTCAACTTGTTAATAATCAATTTTGTGAATATGGTGACATTAATTTGATTAATGTTCATTTTTATATCTTAAACTTAGTTTATCTACACATCTTACCATTGTCATTATTATTATTATTATTATTATTATTATTATCATTATTATTATCACACTATTAGAGAAATTTATTCAGCATCCACCCTATTCTAATATATCTAACCTAATTCATATTATTCTATATATTACGTAATTTCTGATTTGTAATCCCATTGTTCTACCTCTCACCCCATATCAACTATATTTATTCTGATCATTTATCATAGTTGAAAGCTTGAGACAATTGAAGCTAGACCACCATGGAAAACCTGGAAACACTGAACGGCCAAATCATCCTATTATGGGACTCCTCAGCAGTGCGCATCCACGAACCCGCTCTCGCGAGATTCGAACCCAGGACCTACCAGTCTCGAGCCGAAGACCTTAACCGATAGACCACTGAGCTGGCATCCAACGGTGTTAATGTCTAACTTCAACTGATCCACGAAGTTGAGCAACCATTCACCAATTGTCTTCAGTGAGTTCCTATCTCACAACAGACTTGGTTTTGAACTCCACTGGTCACTGCTTCTCACGAGAGCTCATAGATATACTTCTCGAAGTCACTAGTGAGCATATGATTATATTAATTATAGAAGGGATTTTGTGGAGATTTAGTATTTATCATAGTTGAAAGCGTGAGTCAATTGAAGGTAGACCACCACGGAAAACCAGGAAACACTAGACGGCCAAATCACCCTATTATGGGAATCCTCAGCATCAATTGGTTAGTGATCTCACAAACATTTTCAATTAATGACTTTGATTCAGGCTTGAAATTCATAGTAGTTGACTAATTTACAAATCAAACACTGAGAACATTAATCCACTGCCACAGTACATTCTGGTTTGCATGCAATTGTTGTGCCAGTAAACAATCAGCCACTGAATAAGTAATACATATGTTACGTGAATATTTTCTCAACTAGATGACATGAATGCGTTCTATTGTTGCTTATGATATTTCACTAATGAAAGGTTGTAATATAAGCTTATCAGTGATCTATTGACTATTCTACAATTCTCAGATATCCCACATTTCTGATGATCAATCCTTATAACTGACATCCAATTTCTTCTGTAATAAACATCATGTGCGAAGTTTTTGGTATAGTTGTACGAAGTGATAAATATTCATTGAGGGTCAAATTGTTGTTCAGTGTATCAATTATTCTGTTGATCATATGGTTGGTCAATATTGTACCAAGTCTCATTCAATGGAAAATCAATCAAGTCAATCATGATGCAATGTCTGAAACAATAGAAGTGTTGTGCAGTAATATATCAATTACAAAACAGTCAGAATCAGATCTTGCTGGTATATTACACAAAATATATTCCCCTATCAGTAAAACATCCGTTCAAAAATACCCATTAAGATTTAGTTTGGAAGAAAATAGACTGGAGAAATTATATGATTCATCAGGTATGAATAAGACGGTAAGTTGAACGTTAGAAATATTCTTTGATGTTGATAGAATGACCATGTTCTAGTTAACTGATCTTTACTAACTATTCATTGATTTTTCAAAATGATCGAGATTATGCGTGCAAAATATTTGTGGACATTGTTCAAATTCATAGTAGTTTACATCACAGAGATGCACTAACAACCAGGTTTGCTGTTGTAGCATCACAGAACTTCTGGTTCACAGATATTGTTTGTAAGTGGAATGTGTATAGTGAGATATTTGAGAAGTTGAAAACATACTCTTTAAGTGTTTGTGGAAGGGAAACATGAAATTATGTCAGTTTGAAACTCTTCATCACATTGATAATTACATCACCTGATCGTTTCATTCAAATTGCATCAATGTAATCATTGAATGTCTTATGTTCACCTAGTATTATTTGTTCATATAATGTGTGTGTTCTCAATGATCGTTTTCTGGTGATGTTGATTTGATTTTGTTCATACTATTCCGTGGAAGATGTGTTAAAGAAGGATGATTTGGATGAGCATTGTTTCGAGGAAGTTCTTAGGAGTGTGATCTCGGATATTTATCGACTTGTCCAATTATGACTACATGTGTGTTGTTTATTTGTGTCCAAAAACAGTTTCTTCTGTTCTCATTGGTTGCAATAAATGTGTTGGTAATCCTACAATGTGTTTATTTTCATTTAAATTCATCCCACCAAATGAATGATAAAACTTAGTTTGTGGTTTCGATGTTAAAACGTATTACAGAAATGTAATCATATGAGTGTTTGGATGTATTTCGTACTAACATCAACTCTTACACACAGTTTGCTGAAAGGTAACTACCATTACAATAGAAACCATTATCATTTAAGCAACACAGAGTTCGTTGACATGAATGACATCAATAATAAAAAATTGCTATCATTACGAACCATTAGGATATATGGTATTGTTAGGAAGGTTATGAATTATCCGATTGTCTATGATGTTGTTCGAATTTTGATGAATCTCTGATGAAAAGAACCTCAAATCCCAGTTTGTATTCCTTTTCATAACTAAATCCATTCTGTAAAAAAATTGGGACATATTTTGTTCAATTGGATGTAAGGTTGACGAAATCATAGTTTGTGCGTAGGATTTCTGAATTATGTTTGTAATCGATGTGAAATATGATGCCCAAGAAATTTCGGAAATCAACGCATGAATTTGTATTCTAATCTTGTTTCAGGTGAAGACGTTTCTCAACTATGGGCATCGTACAATTTTCACACCGATGGATTTTTCAAAATGTCATGCCTCGAAATGTGCTGTTATCACTGATATGAATAGATGGAGAGAAGCTGATGCACTTATACTGACAGAAGATAAAGTGCCGAAAGGAATTCGACCTCCAGAACAATTGTGGTTTAGTTTAATTCAAGAGTCGCCTGTACATATTGCTATGGCAGGTTTTCTGGACAATGAAGTGAGTAATTCTGGCCACAATAATGTTACTTATCATTGTTATTTCAATTCCTTCAATCATCAATGTTTACCATTTAATATCATGTTATATTACAATGTCAATACGGTTGAATGTAGGTGACGAGGTCTACGAAAGGAGGATGGATTCGTGTTACCCAGCGAATAATATCCTTGTTCTTCATTTTAATCCATGGACGGGACTAATTGTATGAAGTTTATGAGCTCCCATATAACACCTACCTATGCGTCACACAACAGTAGAAGTTGAGCGGCAAAAACGTTAAAACTTGATACGCTTTAGCACATATGTTACACTGTGTTTGATTTTGTAAGAGAAGTTTTGCAAGAAGATGAATAAATAAGTCATTTCGTGTGCAGTTTTGGGTTACAATTTGTGGTCAATGTTCAAAGTCAGGTAAAACACATCCATTAATTTAATGGATATTCATTGATTAGTTCATGGAATTTATATAGTTTCCAACTGATTGTTCAATTATTCGAATGAAAATAATGTTCACCTCTTGGTGGAACTCCATAGAATTCATTTCACCATTTCAGACTATTATTCCCCTATACCATATGTACTGATATGATGGGCGTGCATTTCCGGATAACTTGCAAAATGTTTTGTTTACAGCAGTCGGTTGTACATGGTTCGCAGATGATGCTTTACTGTTATTGACGATGTGTTTTCCGAGTTAGATGGTTTAATACCGATGTTTCCAATGTTGTTGACGACAACTTTGTCAGTAGCCATCTCATGTGAGACAGGAAGTTTTCGTCAATCTATCAGAATTAAATCGGTTTATTTCTGTAGTCAATCACAAAGAGGGTCATCAGAATGAGATGATTTGACACTGGGTTGTAAATCCTCAGAGTCGCTTCAAAGTGATGCTATGCTGTACATCATGAATTCAATCTTTATATCGTGCAGATGATAATTAATTATCTCGTTCTTTATGGCTTGAGAGACCCTTGAGAATTGCAAATACACCACGACACCAGCAATCGTGAACAAATCACTCAAGTCTGTATCGTGAATCTATAGTTCAAAACGATAAAACTCAAATATACCTACGAACCACTTTAGTAAAACATTATTTTAATATCAAAACTACTAACTTCTTCATTTATTTCAATATCCATGATGTCATTTTACTTCAATTTATCCCTCTCATATCCAGGTTAATTTTACTATCTCCTTCCGTTTGGATTCAACGATTTATTCACCATACGGTTCCTATGAGCCATACATAAAGCACCATGGACCAGAAACACGGTATCCTTTACCTTCTAGAAATATCGCTAGTGGGAAATCAAAAAAAGTTGCATGGTTTGTGAGTAACTGTATACCGAAAAGTCCAAGAATGCAATATGCCAAAGAACTTTCACGACATATCTCAGTGAGTTTAACAAAGCTTAACTTTGAGTTTCTACACTTTTTTCAATAATTTCGAGGAAACCAATAATTGAGGAGAGACAAAATGTATAAAGCACGAATAAACTAATTAGTAGTATTTGAACTACTGTGAGAACTAGGAATTCCCGAAGTAGTGCAATCTAAGTATACAGAACTAGGTGAGCGCTAACGAATGTATTGTGTTTGGAATTCGAAACCAGGCAGACATTAGGTACAAATGAATCATTAGCTCATACAAACACCACAATGAAGCATGCAAAATGTGTCACTCGGAACGAATTCGGGATGACAGTGATCTTCATGTTATTATTCGTTGCATATGCAATGATGACGAAAATGACTGAAAAGTTGATTCAATCCTTTACGTTCAAATGAAGGAGAAACGAACTAATAATAATTGGAATACATTGAAACAAGGTCTACTGAAATTGTCCTCATTGTTTGACAACAGTGCATGAAGTAGGCATCGATTCATGTCATCAGTGTATTACTCTCAAATCTGCACGATTGTATGTTCTATCATTGTGTTGATAAAAAAAATTTTCAACCTTGAAACTTAGACCTCTCAATCACGCATGCGGTCTCGATGGAGTTCAAGCACTGATTCTTTAGCATTACTCACTTTCACAGTCTTTCAAGAGAACTTTCTTAGTTGCTGATTGGTCATATACTATTGACGTTTAAAGACCAGCGAAGGTGTTTGATTTTCTCATGATGTCTGTTCATTATTGCAATTTATACTCAATATCAAAAATTTGAATATTTGGTTCTCTTTCACATCATTGTAAATTTATCCTTCAAATGTACAAGTTGGTTAGACTGTACATATAAACAAATGAGCATCTCAGAAATCCTACGGATAATCCTCAGAATGAAGATGATTTCATCGAATGGTAATTCCGTAGGGAACTGGATTACTGGATTAATATCACCACATGTAACTATTCCATAAACTAGCCGCACAAGATTATCAATTCAGGTATTCTTACACCATACTCAGAGATCACTCATTTCTATATCCAGGTGTTATATGCATGTACATGTGCATTTCTGAAATCACTGTGTTCATGAGTCGTCGTAATTGTTCCTTCAACTCCCTTCAACTCCGTCCCAGCCCCCGGAGGATCTAGAGGCGGAGTTTTTATCAAACATATGCACAACGAATTCGATGCAGTCACTAAATTCACCATTGAAGCATACAACTCATCTGTCCAATAGTTTACTAAAGTTTTCTATTTTTAGGTTGATATTTATGGTGAGTGTGGTACATTATCATGTCCAAAGTATATTCCAACTTTCACCTCATCAGTTGGCTGCTTGAAAATGATGCGCGAAAACTATAAGTTTTATTTGAGCTTTGAAAATAGTTTGTGCAGTGAATATGTAACAGAGAAGTTGTATAAAAATGCACTGAAGTAAGTGGTTTGGCATTTATCTAGCATTGTGGTGTAATCAAAGTAATCAATTTATTTATATGTGTGCTCAATCATCGTCTCAAAGTGTCACATCATTTCAGAAGAACGAAATGAAATTGGCATAGTGAACTGGGATGGATTACAGTGATGTTGGTTTTAGTGATAGGCGGGAACATTCAACATAGAGAATATGTATCTGCAAAAGAAATGCAATCGTGTCACGAAGTTGATAGAATAATGGTGGACATGCAGTTCTAATGGAAGGAATCAGAATGAATTCATCTACTGTAATGAGAGGGATGTTAAGCGATTTCACTTGTGCTTGAAAGCTGATCACTATTTTCGTGCAGGTTCTAACCAATTAGTAGTAGTAGTTGTTGTGGTGGTGGTGGTATTAGTGGTATGAGTAGTCGTGACAGTAGTGTGACTTGTGTTCATAACAGTGATCGTAGTCGTAGTAGTAGTAGTAGTAGTCGTAGTAGTAGTAGTAGTAGTAGTAGTAGTAGTAGTAGTAGTAGTAATACTAGCATCTCAGATCAATAATCAGTGACTGCATGGATAGATACTATGTCCTAGTTTGGCCACCCCGTAACCGGTTTACGACCAACTCAAAGTCATATAATACTTACTGACTTACTTACTTACTTATTACTTAGCTACTTACTTACTAACGCCTGTTAACTCTCGTGGAAGAATATAGGCCGACCATCACCATTCCACATCCAACTCTGTTCTGGTCAATACTTTCCGGTCATTCTCACTTGACATTCATCCTCTTCACATCTGCTTACAATTCTCAAGGAAGTGAGTTATTTGGCCTTTGTCTTTCCCGTTTACCTTTACAATTCCAAGTTGGAGCTTGTCTCATGATTGAGTTTGAAGATTTCCTTAATGTGTGTTCTATTCACTTCCAACGTCTTTTATTAATTTCCTCTTCAGATGGAAGCTGATTTGTTTTTTCCCATAGTAGGCTATTGTTGATGGTATCGGCTCAACGAATATTGAGTATTTTGCATAGACAACTGTTTATAAATACTTGTGAGCTTTTGATGTTGGTTGTGGTAGATCTCGAAGTTTTAGCCTTGTACAGTAGAAATGTGTTGACATTCGTATTGAAGATTGTGATTTTGATATTGGTTGATAGTTGTTTTGAGTTCAATATGTTCCTCAACTTCGCATAGTTCATGTTCATTATTGCAGATAAATAAAGATTCTTCAATGTGAAATAGGTTTCAGTAAAGTCTTCTGAGGATGTTAACCAGATTATTGCATATAATATAAAATTGTAATTTTCATGCTCAATACTCGAAGTTAAATTTACATTAGAGAGGAGAGAATATGATAAGTCCATGATAGATCTTATCATAGCACGGTGACAGGTGTCCTCATATATATCAAAATTGATGGTACTCGATCAATTTTCCGTATATCTAGTTCCAAAAAATACTATGTTTTATGGACCGTCAACTACCAGGCAACAAAATCGTCAGGTAGAACCGACTTCTGTGACCTTGTCCCTGTGCTGAACCAATGATGCTTCAAGCAGCACTAGTAGCCTTGAGTCAGCTATGAGTCCTTATTGGTCTTCTGAATAGCAACTTCACACCTACCCCACCACTTCCAGTCCGGAACGCAGATATCAGCTGTATATTTCAGACATACGTGGTTTGTATATATATAATCTAGTTGCTCAATAATTTTGTGATAAGAATAAATGCTATAATAATAGATGGTGTCTAGCAGTGGAATCCAGGTCGCCCGTTTCTTCCTACTCATTGCTCGTCATTTGGATGTACCTGCATCCTTGCATTGATGTTCACCCGTGGACTCGAATCTAGTACTGTGAGCTCCTGGATTCCACCGCTAGCCCTCATCCATCTCTGCCCATAATGCTTGTGACTCAAAGCAATATCGGGGTAATCGACACAGGATACACATATGTCGATCAGAGACTGATCAATGTCAGTCCTGAACATCAATGTAACGATTCAAACAAATAATACCAAAATGAATGTGTAAAAATGGTCTACAAATAATTCCTAGCAGTTACCATCCATTTATTCATCGTAACAAAGGGCACATAAATTCATTCACAATCTTCAGTCGTAATAATCTATCCTTCAAGAAGCGTCACATGAGCAAGGGATTCATGATGGTGGTGGTAGTTTTAACGAATAACCGGTCTGCAATATTGCCATTTGGATTATCAACAACAGCTTCACGGTCTAATTTAACACATATTAAACCACACTTCAACAGTTTAAAGGCCTAACTCAAAAACACCAAACCACAATAGTCCTTAATATCTTGTGTCCATGGGGGAAGAGCATCTCTGATCAGGATTATTCAATAAAATACCAAGCTGAATAATATGTCAGTGTACTGAAGTGTCTGTGACAAACATTTCTCTGTCAGGTCATATTACTGACGATACTTTGGCCAAGTACTGCTACAACGGCCTTTTCAAAACTATGTGAATTAAGCAATAAAAGTTCACACTTTACAGCGTTTGTCAATTCAAAATAAAACGTTGAAACTGTCAAAAACTGAAATCTGATCTCCATCGTGCTATGAGTTGAAATTTTGACATTTTCAATGTATCTACATATTTTTGTGAATGTTGACGATTTATTTGAATGATGAAGTTTTGACCAGTGTTTAACAGTTTGAAAACTTATTATTTGTTTCAAGTAACGAATTACTTCCAATTGTGATGGGTGCTTCGATAGAAGAATATGAAAGAGTCGCTCCTCCATACTCTTTCATTCACGTTGATCAATTCGAATCACCAGCTAAACTGGCAGACTATTTGAAGTATTTGGACAAGAATGATACTGCATATAATGAATATTTTGCATGGCATGGTCATGGGATCGTACATGATTACGATGCTCAACCTCAATGTGCAATGTGTCTACTGGCACATACATCCCAAGCATTTGGTCCATATTGGGTTCCGAAAGTGGCACGATGGTGGAATGATGGATGTAATGGTCGGAAATTGCGTTGGAATCCATGAAAGATGAATATTGAGAACAAAATTATTGTTTATCTTCTAAACTGTATTAAGTTGTAATGTACATAGTGCTTTCTACTTTATGCATTTTCTGGTATAGATCAAAATACATTTGATAATGAATAAGATTTTCCACATAGAAACAATTCTGATATTTTTCATGAAAACAGTTGTCATGTTAACTCAGACAATTTCATATGGAATGATTATGGAGTAACATAATGCTGTACACTATTCACAAACCTTTGGTAATGTGATAACGATAAAGGTGTAAATGTTCATATACTAACCTTGAATACAGTATCAATAGAGAAGTATTGTTAAGGAAAATAATGAAAATGCGATTTGAGGGAGGGAAAGTATTATTTTTCCAATATTAACTTTCCATCTTGACTTTCGACTAATTCTAATGTAAATACCATAGGATAAAATAATTAACACCGTCTAAATTGAAATTTCAACTGATTTAAGTGAATTCGATTTAAGCTAGACCAGCATGGAAAACCTAGAAGCACTGTACGGCCGTTGACAGCTCAGCGGTTCATCCTATAAGTGCTCTGGCGCGAGCTTGGCAGGTCCTTGGTTCGATTGACTCATGATTTCAAGTATATATATGGATATAAATAAGTCAATAATAGGAAAAAATATCAATATTAGTTAGTTGTTTAATTGTTAAAAATAGTCGGGTAAATGAATAGACACGAATGACAATGGGTTATCTAGTTAGACATATGATGATCAGACTGAAGAATCTATGCGAACTCATTATAGATGTAAATGTGATAATTTAACTGAATGATATAGAAACGGATTATGTACTCAACATAATATACGCTATGTGACAGAAGAACTGTGATACTACTTGAATAGCTAGAGGGTAGAATGTGCAGGAGCGTTTCGAACATATGATACAATGTCACTTTTTAAAGTAATAATTATGTCGAGTGAAACGTGATTCTTGCAGTCAATATTGACTAAATTAATAGAGAGATAGTGTCCTAATGTTTTTGTCTGTTTTTTTTGTTCACCCATAAAAAGTGACATTTTGAAATAGCATCAGGTTGCTTAGTTATGCATCATGTGAGTAGTCAAAAGTATGTAAAGAAAACAAGCTTCAAAAATCAATCTTGGTTACATAGATATTTACCATGAATATGATACACTTTATTGTTTCTTGAAACATCTCTCTGAAGTTGTGTCACATTTTCATTGTCTTTGTCAATTTTAAATTAGAGTTTTACCTTGATTTCCAATCAAATTTTAGATGATATGAATGATATAATCGCTAGTTGAGGAAATCGTAATTAAAACTTTAGGTTATTTCCAGAATGACCAATGAGTGTATAAATTGGGACGAAGCGGTCACTTATCAATTTTCTACTAAACATCAGGGGATAGAGATGATAGAGTTCACTTGAATATCTGATGATTGATTCGTCTCGTGGTAACTGTCACATTAGTTTAACAGTATAACATATATTTTCAATGAATGTGTAAATTTTCCCATACACGTTTTCCTATGTGATTCATTGGAAAATATTTATCATTTGAAAATAGTACAATGTGTGGAACGAAAGCTCTTTTCAACCTCTCATTCATCTAAGTAAGATTTATTTCAGGAAATGTCTAGTTGTTTGCTAATCAATTAAAAGCGTTTAGTGATATTACATCTTCTATCTCATAACCCATTACTTGACGGTCATGAATTACATAACGAGTGACTGGCTCACTAGTGACTGACTTCGATAAGTAAATCTAGGAGTTCTAGTGAGAAGCAGTGACCAGTGGAGTTCAAACCACGTCTGTTGTGAGATATTAACTCACTGAAGACAATTGGTTAACGGTTGCTCAAACATCGTGAATTGGTTGGAGTTAGACATAAACAACATTAGATGCCGACTCAATGATATATCGGTTAAGTGCTGTGGCGCGAGACTGGTAGGTCTTAGGTTCGAATCTCGCGAGGCGAGGTCATAGATGCGCACTGCTCAGGAGACCCACAATAGGACGAAACGGCCATCCAGTGCTTGCAGGTTTTCCATGGTGGTCTAGCATCAATTGACTCATGATTTCTACTATGATCCATTTTCAAAAAATCGAAATTTCGTCCAAATAAATCATAGAATACCTCCTCTAAATATGAAATGACAATAAATCAAATAGTCTTTACATTAGATTGTCTATTTCATGAATAAAAGAAACAGTATGCCAAGAAGAATTGATCAAAAATGAACACGCACACACACATACACAAATCAAAATGGAAGTTCTCATGTAACTCTAATGCTATGAAATGTCATGCTTTCTGAGATGGTGGATAAAATTTGTAACTCAGGTGGGTGGAGTTTTGTTCTGTGAGCTGGATGGTTTGGTCGTGGAGCTTTTATCGTCCTTCTGAACGACATCATACTTTCATATAACATGGATGCATAATTGATGTTGTTAGAGATATCGTCTGTCAATCATTTAACCTATATATACTCTTGTTCAATATATGTATGCAATATCATGCATACAGAATGATCGGTCATTAACAATAGATCTGATGTTTCAAAATTACAAATGAAAACTGACAAATCTGTATTGACCAATCACAACTGAAGACAAATCTGTATTGACAAATCTACAAATTTTCATCGTTGTATTCCTGAGTTAATTGAAACTAGACCACCATAGAAAACCTCAGAACACCGAATGGACCGTTTCATCCTAGTACGAGACTCCTTAATAGTACGCATCCACAATTCCACCTTTCGGGATTCGATGTTTTGTTTTCTACAAAAAAACCTTCATTGATTCACATTAAGTTATTGTTATTATTTCTTTAATATTAACAATTACTATAATTATCAGAAGGAGGTTTTGTGGAGAATTTAGTAATTTTATGTAGTTGATATCATGAGTCAATTGAAGCTAGACCACCATGGAAAACTTAAAAACACTGGATGACCGTTTCGTCCTATTGTGGGTCTCCTGAGCAGTGCTCATCCACGATTTCGCCTTGTCTATCGGTTAAGTGCTCTGGCGCGAGACTGATAGGTCTTGGGTTCGAGTTTCGCGAGACGGGATCGTGGATGCACACTGTTCAGGAGTCCCATAATAGGACGAAACAGCCATCCAGTGCTTCTAGGCTTTCCATGGTGGTCTAGCTTCAATTGACTCATGATCTCAACTATATAGAATTAGTATAATTACAAATAGAAGATTAAAAATGGTAATTGTTTTTATGGAATGATCATATAAATTCAATAACTTCCAATAATTTCAGGTCATTCTATATAAATTTATGTATTTCTTTTCTTAATCGAATAACTTTGACCGGTATTTACATACAATAAGTTTGATTTGTTAATGGTTTTATGTTTATTGATTTATGTGGTTGTTAATATTGTTCAATTGGATTGGTCTTGTATTTGTTTAGATAACCAAAGCAACCAACAAGTTCATTTCAAATTACGTCTAGATCTAATTTAATCATTGAAAGTTGGTACGTTTTATATTAATTGTTTATTCATTTGTTTTTTATTAATTTAAATATAAATATTGGTATAAATAGGCTGTGATAATGCGCGGGTGCTAAAACCGAAGAAGGTCGTATTCTTAGGGAGCCACACACCGAGCATTTGACATAAAGGTCTGATACACAAGGCAGTGGAGCAACGTAACGAGATCTAGTCCCATGGTAGCCGGTGACTAATGATTGGTTCGTACGCCATTTGTGACTCTCATGATCCTGGAACTCATGTAGACGGTTGGTTTATAATCAGTGTTTTCTAACTTCCGTATGTGGATCCTCCCTGATGTGAACCGCGAAAGAAGAAGCCTTAACAAACTACAGAAGCTATTTTTGAGGACGTTATTTCATTTAATTCAAAGCTTGTAAAACTGTAACATTTACTTTTGTTCCTAGTCTATTCTACAGATCATAAGCTTTCGTTTGATATATGATTCACTGCCATAGCATTTTGTTCCAAAGCTAGTGAAATTTAGACGCAACCTTTTGTACTCTATTTTCTACTATAATCCCCAAGTTTTTGACATAATTGTATTTTTCTAATCATTGTAAGTCGGGGTTAGGTTAGTCATCTATTTATTTATGTATCTTTTTACATTAATCTGAGTTGGGAATTTGAGTACTAGATCGGGATTGGAATAAAGTGATTAGTGTTCCAGTTGTCCTTGTCTTCTCTCTCTCGTGCTTACCAGCCAATCAGGAATAGAATAGTTTTCGGTAGTTTTCGACTCTTTACCCCCACTGCGAACTCACGCATATTAGCCTCAACTTTGAGCCAGTCAGCCTATCGTGTCAAGGTCTTAATCTACATTATACTCGGCACTAAAGTGGGTAGACAGATTCAAGTACGCAACACTGCCAATCCACCAACCCGTTTAAAGAGCCGGATATTCGCTTTTTGTCCTCTCAATTTCGTAAACAACAGTAGTGTTACGAGAAGGTAGTGAGTAGGACTTCCCTGACAGTGGTTGTATACGCATGGCCATGTGAGAGTATTTCAAAAGGGAGAGTGGACTCCCTCCACCGTCAGCTGTACTAGAGCATTTGAGGCATAAATCTTTTGAGTTTCTAATAATTGTTTATTATTGTAATGATGTTATTACCACTTTTAAAAATGATTTTTCTTGTCATTTGAAAAATTGATTCAGAAAGTTATGTGTATGGAATAATATTTAGCAGAAATAATATTTTGATGGTTAGACACTTCAACTTTCAACTACTTGATTACATTTACTGTAATTCATTTACTTTTTAATAATACTAATTATATCACAAACTATTATTATTAATGACTTTATTCAATACTGTATTTTTGGTACAAGACAGTATAGACCATCAACGTTGATGATCTATGTCGAATGATTGGAAGCCTACTCGAGATAGACGGTGACGGTGTAACGAACAAGCTTACTTCGAAGTCACACCTCGTGATCAGCACCTTATGTGGATTGCCCCATCGACGCATCAACGGACCATGGATGCTTTGAAGACTGTACAACACAAAGGACTTTATTACAAGAATTTATTAGTTAAAGTAAATACAAGCGAAAGTAGAACCACTGCGTATGGGCCAGTCCATGGCATATGATTAACTGATGCGCGTTGATTGTCCTTGACCTTGACGGGGATCGATGACGTGTTCGATATTTAGTGACTCGACTGCCAGATGATTTGGCTAAGGTTCAGTGACATTTCACTGGCCCTACAATAGAATTGTTCGCACGAAGTATTTCAACAGGTTTCCTTCATATTTCTTTATCAATCCTGACGATAAATATTGAGTGATCTCCAGTTAGGTGTTAGCATTTCAGGAAATGACATTGGAATAATGTTTATTCTTATCAATTCATGTAGCCAGCCATAATGTAATCTCTGATCGTACTTTTTTATATGGTGTACAGCGAAAGGTCGTAGATTTTTCATAAACGCACCTGAATAGGTTATTGTATTAATAGACATAATGAGGTGTTTAAACAAAAATCATTTAATCGATCCCTTCTTTATTGGAGAGTTGTCTCACGAAATCTTGATTCGCGCCAAAGAACATATCAGGTACACAAAGAAACCTCCTAATAAACCTGTAGAATTAGATAGACTTCAAATTAAATCGGCAATAGCAGTTCACGCCATTTTCAACAATCATCAAATTGATTTCAAAAATATCAAAATACTACAGAAAGGTTTTTCCAATTACAAAGAAAGGAGAGTAGCTGAAGCTTTCCATATAATGCTTAATCCCACAACTCTCAATAGAAATGAAGGCCTTACCATACATCCTACTTGAACTATCTATCCCAGTCATGATATGATATTATTTACAATTTCACACCATTACATTACAAATTAAACTCTATCCTTTGTCATTATAAAGATCACACATTTTCCATTATTGACAGTGCATACATACTCACAAAATTACATATATGTCGCTTATGAATCAAACTATTGAAATTTGAAACATCATATTCTCAGCATCATATCAAATTCACACTGGATTCACAATCTTTAGAATTACAATTAGTCGGATGATACGCAGTGATGTGAACTGTCAGACGTGTGGAGCGTTGGTTGCCGGCCTCATCGACTGGACATCCCGTGTGTGAATGTGAGACTGAATGTACTGTGTTTGGTTCTCAGAGGGTGACGGTCATGGATGCTGACTGCTGAGTCATTTCATTCAGCAACAAAACAGTCGTCTGTTGCTTGTCCTATATCAATTGGTTAGTGATCTCACAAACATTTTCAATTAATGACTTTGATTCAGGCTTGAAATTCATAGTAGTTGACTAATTTACAAATCAAACACTGAGAACATTAATCCACTGCCACAGTACATTCTGGTTTGCATGCAATTGTTGTGCCAGTAAACAATCAGCCACTGAATAAGTAATACATATGTTACGTGAATATTTTCTCAACTAGATGACATGAATGCGTTCTATTGTTGCTTATGATATTTCACTAATGAAAGGTTGTAATATAAGCTTATCAGTGATCTATTGACTATTCTACAATTCTCAGATATCCCACATTTCTGATGATCAATCCTTATAACTGACATCCAATTACTTCTGTAATAAACATCATGTGCGAAGTTTTTGGTATAGTTGTACGAAGTGATAAATATTCATTGAGGGTCAAATTGTTGTTCAGTGTATCAATTATTCTGTTGATCATATGGTTGGTCAATATTGTACCAAGTCTCATTCAATGGAAAATCAATCAAGTCAATCATGATGCAATGTCTGAAACAATAGAAGTGTTGTGCAGTAATATATCAATTACAAAACAGTCAGAATCAGATCTTGCTGGTATATTACACAAAATATATTCCCCTATCAGTAAAACATCCGTTCAAAAATACCCATTAAGATTTAGTTTGGAAGAAAATAGACTGGAGAAATTATATGATTCATTAGGTATGAATAAGACGGTAAGTTGAACGTTAGAAATATTCTTTGATGTTGATAGAATGACCATGTTCTAGTTAACTGATCTTTACTAACTATTCATTGATTTTTCAAAATGATCGAGATTATGCGTGCAAAATATTTGTGGACATTGTTCAAATTCATAGTAGTTTACATCACAGAGATGCACTAACAACCAGGTTTGCTGTTGTAGCATCACAGAACTTCTGGTTCACAGATATTGTTTGTAAGTGGAATGTGTATAGTGAGATATTTGAGAAGTTGAAAACATACTCTTTAAGTGTTTGTGGAAGGGAAACATGAAATTATGTCAGTTTGAAACTCTTCATCACATTGATAATTACATCACCTGATCGTTTCATTCAAATTGCATCAATGTAATCATTGAATGTCTTATGTTCACCTAGTATTATTTGTTCATATAATGTGTGTGTTCTCAATGATCGTTTTCTGGTGATGTTGATTTGATTTTGTTCATACTATTCCGTGGAAGATGTGTTAAAGAAGGATGATTTGGATGAGCATTGTTTCGAGGAAGTTCTTAGGAGTGTGATCTCGGATATTTATCGACTTGTCCAATTATGACTACATGTGTGTTGTTTATTTGTGTCCAAAAACAGTTTCTTCTGTTCTCATTGGTTGCAATAAATGTGTTGGTAATCCTACAATGTGTTTATTTTCATTTAAATTCATCCCACCAAATGAATGATAAAACTTAGTTTGTGGTTTCGATGTTAAAACGTATTACAGAAATGTAATCATATGAGTGTTTGGATGTATTTCGTACTAACATCAACTCTTACACACAGTTTGCTGAAAGGTAACTACCATTACAATAGAAACCATTATCATTTAAGCAACACAGAGTTCGTTGACATGAATGACATCAATAATAAAAAATTGCTATCATTACGAACCATTAGGATATATGGTATTGTTAGGAAGGTTATGAATTATCCGATTGTCTATGATGTTGTTCGAATTTTGATGAATCTCTGATGAAAAGAACCTCAAATCCCAGTTTGTATTCCTTTTCATAACTAAATCCATTCTGTAAAAAAATTGGGACATATTTTGTTCAATTGGATGTAAGGTTGACGAAATCATAGTTTGTGCGTAGGATTTCTGAATTATGTTTGTAATCGATGTGAAATATGATGCCCAAGAAATTTCGGAAATCAACGCATGAATTTGTATTCTACTCTTGTTTCAGGTGAAGACGTTTCTCAACTATGGGCATCGTACAATTTTCACACCGATGGATTTTTCAAAATGTCATGCCTCGAAATGTGCTGTTATCACTGATATGAATAGATGGAGAGAAGCTGATGCACTTATACTGACAGAAGATAAAGTGCCGAAAGGAATTCGACCTCCAGAACAATTGTGGTTTAGTTTAATTCAAGAGTCGCCTGTACATATTGCTATGGCAGGTTTTCTGGACAATGAAGTGAGTAATTCTGGCCACAATAATGTTACTTATCATTGTTATTTCAATTCCTTCAATCATCAATGTTTACCATTTAATATCATGTTATATTACAATGTCAATACGGTTGAATGTAGGTGACGAGGTCTACGAAAGGAGGATGGATTCGTGTTACCCAGCGAATAATATCCTTGTTCTTCATTTTAATCCATGGACGGGACTAATTGTATGAAGTTTATGAGCTCCCATATAACACCTACCTATGCGTCACACAACAGTAGAAGTTGAGCGGCAAAAAAGTTAAAACTTGATACGCTTTAGCACATATGTTACACTGTGTTTGATTTTGTAAGAGAAGTTTTGCAAGAAGATGAATAAATAAGTCATTTCGTGTGCAGTTTTGGGTTACAATTTGTGGTCAATGTTCAAAGTCAGGTAAAACACATCCATTAATTTAATGGATATTCATTGACTAGTTCATGGAATTTATATAGTTTCCAACTGATTGTTCAATTATTCGAATGAAAATAATGTTCACCTCTTGGTGGAACTCCATAGAATTCATTTCACCATTTCAGACTATTATTCCCCTATACCATATGTACTGATATGATGGGCGTGCATTTCCGGATAATTTGCAAAATGTTTTGTTTACAGCAGTCGGTTGTACATGGTTCGCAGATGATGCTTTACTGTTATTGACGATGTGTTTTCCGAGTTAGATGGTTTAATACCGATGTTTCCAATGTTGTTGACGACAACTTTGTCAGTAGCCATCTCATGTGAGACAGGAAGTTTTCGTCAATCTATCAGAATTAAATCGGTTTATTTCTGTAGTCAATCACAAAGAGGGTCATCAGAATGAGATGATTTGACACTGGGTTGTAAATCCTCAGAGTCGCTTCAAAGTGATGCTATGCTGTACATCATGAATTCAATCTTTATATCGTGCAGATGATAATTAATTATCTCGTTCTTTATGGCTTGAGAGACCCTTGAGAATTGCAAATACACCACGACACCAGCGATCGTGAACAAATCACTCAAGTCTGTATCGTGAATCTATAGTTCAAAACGATAAAACTCAAATATACCTACGAACCACTTTAGTAAAACATTATTTTAATATCAAAACTACTAACTTCTTCATTTATTTCAATATCCATGATGTCATTTTACTTCAATTTATCCCTCTCATATCCAGGTTAATTTTACTATCTCCTTCCGTTTGGATTCAACGATTTATTCACCATACGGTTTCTATGAGCCATTGTAGATGATTAATTCCTCTATATCTGACTCCAATATATAAATAATATCCCGCTAACTGATATTTTACTGCAGGCTAAATCTCCTAGTAGAATTACGGGTTTACTCGAGATTATTCAAAAGCCTGAACACCAGTTATAGAGATAGTTTATTGATGAAGCTCGGTAAAATCCGCAAGCGTACAGATAGCAAGCACACAGGGAAAGCAAGTGAGTGTGTGTGTGTGAGTGTTAAAAATCCATATATATTTTTGAGTGTTAATGGATTGTGGATAAATTATTGATTGTCTTTGTTTACAACCAATGAGAGAATAGATTAAAGATTGATGTGCAGACATGCGCTCAATCAGACTCACACATAAATTTACAATGGGTTAAATGTTAGGATTACAGAGAGCACATAAAAAATACAGTAGTTTAATGGGCTTGCTACACCATACATAAAGCACCATGGACCAGAAACACGGTATCTTTTACCTTCTAGAAATATCGCTAGTGGGAAATCAAAAAAAGTTGCATGGTTTGTGAGTAACTGTATACCGAAAAGTCCAAGAATGCAATATGCCAAAGAACTTTCACGACATATCTCAGTGAGTTTAACAAAGCCTAACTTTGAGTTTCTACACTTTTTTCAATAATTTCGAGGAAACCAATAATTGAGGAGAGACAAAATGTATAAAGCACGAATAAACTAATTAGTAGTATTTGAACTACTGTGAGAACTAGGAATTCCCGAAGTAGTGCAATCTAAGTATACAGAACTAGGTGAGCGCTAACGAATGTATTGTGTTTGGAATTCGAAACCAGGCAGACATTAGGTACAAATGAATCATTAGCTCATACAAACACCACAATGAAGCATGCAAAATGTGTCACTCGGAACGAATTCGGGATGACAGTGATCTTCATGTTATTATTCGTTGCATATGCAATGATGACGAAAATGACTGAAAAGTTGATTCAATCCTTTACGTTCAAATGAAGGAGAAACGAACTAATAATAATTGGAATACATTGAAACAAGGTCTACTGAAATTGTCCTCATTGTTTGACAACAGTGCATGAAGTAGGCATCGATTCATGTCATCAGTGTATTACTCTCAAATCTGCACGATTGTATGTTCTATCATTGTGTTGATAAAAAAAATTTTCAACCTTGAAACTTAGACCTCTCAATCACGCATGCGGTCTCGATGGAGTTCAAGCACTGATTCTTTAGCATTACTCACTTTCACAGTCTTTCAAGAGAACTTTCTTAGTTGCTGATTGGTCATATACTATTGACGTTTAAAGACCAGCGAAGGTGTTTGATTTTCTCATGATGTCTGTTCATTATTGCAATTTATACTCAATATCAAAAATTTGAATATTTGGTTCTCTTTCACATCATTGTAAATTTATCCTTCAAATGTACAAGTTGGTTAGACTGTACATATAAACAAATGAGCATCTCAGAAATCCTACGGATAATCCTCAGAATGAAGATGATTTCATCGAATGGTAATTCCGTAGGGAACTGGATTACTGGAATAATATCACCACATGTAACTATTCCATAAACTAGCCGCACAAGATTATCAATTCAGGTATTCTTACACCATACTCAGAGATCACTCATTTCTATATCCAGGTGTTATATGCATGTACATGTGCATTTCTGAAATCACTGTGTTCATGAGTCGTCGTAATTGTTCCTTCAACTCCCTTCAACTCCGTCCCAGCCCCCGGAGGATCTAGAGGCGGAGTTTTTATCAAGCATATGCACAACGAATTCGATGCAGTCACTAAATTCACCATTGAAGCATACAACTCATCTGTCCAATAGTTTACTAAAGTTTTCTATTTTTAGGTTGATATTTATGGTGAGTGTGGTACATTATCATGTCCAAAGTATATTCCAACTTTCACCTCATCAGTTGGCTGCTTGAAAATGATGCGCGAAAACTATAAGTTTTATTTGAGCTTTGAAAATAGTTTGTGCAGTGAATATGTAACAGAGAAGTTGTATAAAAATGCACTGAAGTAAGTGGTTTGGCATTTATCTAGCATTGTGGTGTAATCAAAGTAATCAATTTATTTATATGTGTGTGCAATCATCGTCTCAAAGTGTCACATCATTTCAGAAGAACGAAATGAAATTGGCATAGTGAACTGGGATGGATTACAGTGATGTTGGTTTTAGTGATAGGCGGGAACATTCAACATAGAGAATATGTATCTGCAAAAGAAATGCAATCGTGTCACGAAGTTGATAGAATAATGGTGGACATGCAGTTCTAATGGAAGGAATCAGAATGAATTCATCTACTGTAATGAGAGGGATGTTAAGCGATTTCACTTGTGCTTGAAAGCTGATCACTATTTTCGTGCAGGTTCTAACCAATTAGTAGTAGTAGTTGTTGTGGTGGTGGTGGTATTAGTGGTATGAGTAGTCGTGACAGTAGTGTGACTTGTGTTCATAACAGTGATCGTAGTCGTAGTAGTAGTAGTAGTAGTCGTAGTAGTAGTAGTAGTAGTAGTAGTAGTAGTAGTAATACTAGCATCTCAGATCAATAATCAGTGACTGCATGGATAGATACTATGTCCTAGTTTGGCCACCCCGTAACCGGTTTACGACCAACTCAAAGTCATATAATACTTACTGACTTACTTACTTACTTATTACTTAGCTACTTACTTACTAACGCCTGTTAACTCTCGTGGAAGAATATAGGCCGACCATCACCATTCCACATCCAACTCTGTTCTGGTCAATACTTTCCGGTCATTCTCACTTGACATTCATCCTCTTCACATCCGCTTACAATTCTCAAGGAAGTGAGTTATTTGGCCTTTGTCTTTCCCGTTTACCTTTACAATTCCAAGTTGGAGCTTGTCTCATGATTGAGTTTGAAGATTTCCTTAATGTGTGTTCTATTCACTTCCAACGTCTTTTATTAATTTCCTCTTCAGATGGAAGCTGATTTGTTCTTTCCCATAGTAGGCTATTGTTGATGGTATCGGCTCAACGAATATTGAGTATTTTGCATAGACAACTGTTTATAAATACTTGTGAGCTTTTGATGTTGGTTGTGGTAGATCTCGAAGTTTTAGCCTTGTACAGTAGAAATGTGTTGACATTCGTATTGAAGATTGTGATTTTGATATTGGTTGATAGTTGTTTTGAGTTCAATATGTTCCTCAACTTCGCATAGTTCATGTTCATTATTGCAGATAAATAAAGATTCTTCAATGTGAAATAGGTTTCAGTAAAGTCTTCTGAGGATGTTAACCAGAATATTGCATATAATATAAAATTGTAATTTTCATGCTCAATACTCGAAGTTAAATTTACATTAGAGAGGAGAGAATATGATGAGTCCATGATAGATCCTATCATAGCACGGTGACAGGTGTCCTCATATATATCAAAATTGATGGTACTCGGTCAATTTTCCGTATATCTAGTTCCAAAAAATACTATGTTTTATGGACCGTCAACTACCAGGCAACAAAATCGTCAGGTAGAACCGACTTCTGTGACCTTGTCCCTGTGCTGAACCAATGATGCTTCAAGCAGCACTAGTAGCCTTGAGTCAGCTATGAGTCCTTATTGGTCTTCTGAATAGCAACTTCACACCTACCCCACCACTTCCAGTCCGGAACGCAGATATCAGCTGTATATTTCAGACATACGTGGTTTGTATATATATAATCTAGTTGCTCAATAATTTTGTGATAAGAATAAATACTATAATAATAGATGGTGTCTAGCAGTGGAATCCAGGTCGCCCGTTTCTTCCTACTCATTGCTCGTCATTTGGATGTACCTGCATCCTTGCATTGATGTTCACCCGTGGACTCGAATCTAGTACTGTGAGCTCCTGGATTCCACCGCTAGCCCTCATCCATCTCTGCCCATAATGCTTGTGACTCAAAGCAATATCGGGGTAATCGACACAGGATACACATATGTCGATCAGAGACTGATCAATGTCAGTCCTGAACATCAATGTAACGATTCAAACAAACAATACCAAAATGAATGTGTAAAAATGGTCTACAAATAATTCCTAGCAGTTACCATCCATTTATTCATCGTAACAAAGGGCACATAAATTCATTCACAATCTTCAGTCGTAATAATCTATCCTTCAAGAAGCGTCACATGAGCAAGGGATTCATGATTGATTTTCATTTGCAATGTAACGAATACTGTCTAATTATACAAAACAGATGAAACTATGTATGCCCCATATAGTCTATCATAGCTGTACAAACCTGTAAACACTTTGTTTTCACTTTTGTTTTACATTATTAATAAAGGTCATATTTAGTTTTAAAGAAAAACCGAATAAAAATAGAATAAACTAATAATCTTGATAGTTGGAAGCGTGAGTCAATTGAAGCTAGACCACCAGGGAAAACCTGAAAACACTGGACGGCCGTTGACAGCTCAGCGGTTCATCCTATAAGTGCTCTGGCGCGAGACTATTAGGTCCCGGGTCCGAATCTTGCGAGGCGAGGTCGTGGATGCGCGGAGTCTCACAGTAGGATTAAACGGCCGTCTACTTTTTCCAGGTTTACCATGGTTGTCTAGCTTCAATTGATTTCAACTACAAAAATACTGAATCTCCACAAAACCCCTTCTGATAATAGCGAGTTCATTTATGACTGATGATTTTTTGTCTTGTTATATAACTATCACATATGTCTTGCAGTACACCATAAATTCTTTAAAAATTATTTAATGATGAATAAGTGAGTGATTAAAATCAAGGTGAAATCGGTAATCACATGGAAATTGAAATAACAGCAAATGTAACAATAAAATCAATGCCTTGTGGATTCTCGTCAACTGCCTACAATAAAGAAACGACAGCAACAATTGTTTATAAACAATGTTTACAAATTTGATAGTTATGGAAAATCCTTATCTACCTACCTACATATGTTCATTAACTCTCATAGGGTATGGGCTACCGATTAGGATTAAAAACTGATGAATACTAAACAGATCTATACAGAATGATGATGTATGATATAAGTAACCATTCCTATGTAAATCATCTTAATAACAAAACACAGTATTTCTTCTTTATGTAGGTCAGTGAATTATTGATTTTCATTTGCAATGTAACGAATACTGTCTAATTATACAAAACAGATGAAACTATGTATGCCCCATATAGTCTATCATAGCTGTACAAACCTGTAAACACTTTGTTTTCACTTTTGTTTTACATTATTAATAAAGGTCATATTTAGTTTTAAAGAAAAACCGAATAAAAATAGAATAAACTAATAATCTTGATAGTTGGAAGCGTGAGTCAATTGAAGCTAGACCACCAGGGAAAACCTGGAAACACTGGACGGCCGTTTGGTCCTGTTGTGAGACTCCTCAGCAGTGCGCATCCACAACCTCTCCACAAAACCCTTCTGATAATAATAATCTTGAATTGATTCGCAAATTGTATTTTCTTTGGTGTGTATGTGTGCTCTACTTAGTATTTCTCAGTAATCATGATTTTTACTGCCTAATATTTTATTTTCTACTTCTCTTGTTACTTTGTGTTTAATTGATCAAAAAAACAAAAGTGTTTTAAAGCAGACATAGATTTGGTAAAACTATTACATCATCAGGCCTTACAGTGATCAAAGTTTAATTAATACATGTTTTAAACTGAAAATGGTGAACTTCACATTGATGGTGTCATAAATAGTACTGCATTATCAAGGATTAATTTTAGCCATCTATAATCAGATCATTTTGATAATATATATTTGCCGAAGAAGATATTACTGAAATTTGTAGGTGATGACGTGATTCGAACCTTTCACATTAGGAGGTACATTCATTAGGAGAATGAGATACAGACGTATGCAACTGTATCAGGCTCCAGTTCAAATTGTACTAAAGTAATTAGTTTTTTTATTGGTCATCGAAGTGTTTGGTTGAATTGATTTTGCAATAGAGACATTTTTGCTGCGTTGATGTGACTGAATTGCATTCTGACAAACTTATATGAAGATAACAGCTTTGTTGTAGTTGTGTTCCAGACGTCTACGGTACATCCTGGAAAATAGTAATGCGTTCGAACTAAGTGAACCTTGAAGAGTGCAGAAACCACGCTCTTGTTTTTTGCCAAAATCATGAATTTGTGCAAGCAAAAAGAACATATACGAATTTATTTCGATGTATAACTCCATATTGTGACCGACCATGAAGCACTGAATTTTAATTACCACCCGACAATTCACTACATTGTTTGTCTGATCTAGGTGTCGAAAGATGGAATTACGAACTGAGCGTTCATGTTTTGACCATTGAAGTTAGAGTGCTAAGAGCTTACCATATGCAAACTTTCCTACACGTCATTCCTACCACGAGCAACCATCTAATGAAAGTGGTTGTTTGTTAGTTCAATCGTTGCCTGTTAACCAGTAAAGGGCACTCAAAAAATTTGAAAGTATCAGAGTGGCAGTTCAAAGATAAGTATTATTAACTAAGTGACTCGACTGTTAACAGCTAAAATCCATCCATAATGCCATAGTTGTTAACAATATAACAGATAATTTCCCTTACACAAGCTTGGCCATTGATTTCGCTGGTTGAGCATTTGAGAAGTCAATATTGATGAGCCAACAATTGATTGGCCCCTGAGTAATGACCGACAGCTTATTTGCTTAATTCTTTAATACTGTTCGAATTTCATCGATCAAGTTACAATATTACGACTGGTCTAAGTGACTAGGCATCAGAGTCACTGAAATTAATGTGCTCGTCACTGATGTGATTAGGAAACTTCACTACCTCGTCGACACTGGCGCAGAAGTTGTTGTTCTTCAGGGAAATTTTAATGACCAACTGCGTCCAAGTGGTAACTTTGGATGATTTAATGCGAAAACGATTCCTGATCGTTATCGGTTGCCTCATGTGCACGATTTGACAGCTACCTTGAAAAGTACAACTGCTTTTTGAAAATCGACTTGATTAAAGCATAAAATCAAATCCCAACGGCTGCTGACAACATTCTTAAAACTGCA